ATCACGGACGACGACCTCCGGCGTGTGCGCGCGGGCAACGGCCTCGCCCTCGCGGTCTCGCTCAGCAGCGAAGAACATGGTGTCGCGATGGTCGAGAAGCTCGTGCAGCCGTCGACGGAGCTCTGGACGCTTCGCAACTCGGCGGCGCTGGTAGCATCGGGCTTGCTCAGTCTCTCGTCGGTGCCGACGTGGATTGCCACCACGCTTGCGGCGCCTGTCGTCCCGACGCTCGTGGCGCTCGTTTGGGATGAGAACCCGCTTGTCAAGTTGACCTCGCGGTCAAGGTCGACGCGGCGCTTGTCTCGGCGCTCGCTGTGGGCCTCACGGACGCCACCAACAAGGTCGCCAAACGCATAGCGATGCGCGTCGTCAAGCGCCTGACCAAAATCGCCGCGAAGCGTGTGCGCGAGCACTTGGGTCCACTCGGCCGCCGATTTTTGCGCTCATCAAGAACCCAAAATCAACATCAAGCTCGGTACCAAGCGTGCGCTCTTGTACGTGCTCGAGGTTGCGACGCGCCCCTAGCCCTCGCGGAGTACCTCGCAAGCGCCGAGCAAGGCAAGCTCCTCGTCGAGTACGCCCGCCGTGTTCCCTCCAATCTCATGCTCAAGCTCAACGAAGACGACAGTGACGACGAAGGTGTTGGGACCTCGTGGCAGTCGCCCATTGGGCCAAGCTCTGGCCGTCCGCTGATTGGACGCCAGACTGGCCAATAGGCGCTGCTCCAATGTATTGGTCCAGCAGTAGCTTGTAAAAGCTCATCGAATTCAGACTTTGTTTTGCCTTTGAAGAGTGGTGCATCCTCCTCAAGCGCAGAAGCTCGTGTCGGTGGTCTTCCAACCCCGACGGCACAACAGAAGGCGCCAAGTAAAAACAAGTGCGCACTAGCTGCCTGTAAACGCAACTCAAATAGCATATCCAATTGCACTCGCACACTCTCAAGGGGCGACGGCAAGAGAGCTTTTAATGCGTTTCCTTCGTTGCAAATGGCATGTGCCATATATAAGTTCCTCATGAGGCCGCAAATAGTGCAATTCGGCATCACTTTGGATACGAAATTCGAGCGCTGTAGGCCGCGCACGACGGTGCAACTTGGTGCTCCGTGCTATACAAAGCAAACTTAATCACTCTACGACGTAGGAGCCATTTTGTATTTTGACCGAGGTTGGCCACCAAATCGCAAGCGGGAACGCACCGCGACAGCTTGCGTGTTGTTAGCCACATTATCCGGATATCCGGTGTAGCATCATCATGAGGCCGCGCGGTCGACCACTTTGCGTTCGAAAACGAAATGGCCAAACCTTGGCACAGTGGTAAATAACGCTATGGAGGGCACGGAAAGCGAGGTCGCATCGACGTACGAGGCGTACAGCGATAGTGAGACGCGATCAAAGATGCGCGCCAAACTGAGATCGTAGTGCCATCTGAGAGGCACAACGCACTC